TGAAAGAAAACTTGCACCACACTTGTAAAATACTAGTAGTATTAATCTTTGACATTTTATATTGAACTCAAGTATTCTGGTATTATACTAGAAATTTAAAATTATCACTAATCCTCTAATAAAGTCATTGTGATTTGTGGTATGAATTAATGATTATGACTTTGTGTCCGTCAAGCTAAGGTTGATTGGTACTAAACTAGAAATTAGGACTGAATTCTGTTTTGTTTGATCTACATCATGAACCATAAGATATAACTCCTGCATTGTAATCACAAGATTTTTTTTAATGAATGATAAAGGTGTCATTAGATTAGTTTTTAAATATATTGACATTAATTATTTTTTAACTAATCTTAAAAGTAAACTTCCCATTAATCTAGAATATTTTTAAAAAATAATTTCTTAAATATAATTATCAAAGATTTAAACTATAAATCTTAATTTACAAAAAAAAAAACTTAATTACTAGTAAATTCAATCCTTGATAATTCATATATATTACTAATCATAAAATCTTGTAATTTCTTGCCTTGCAGGGAGATATCATTTTTTTTCTACTATAATCCTTTTTCTTACTTAATCTAGCAACTAGTCACTTCCATAATAAATAATCAATCCATCTCCTTGTCCTATTCAATAATTGAACCAAAAATTATTTGCCTATAACTATGACTTTTGGGGTGATGTTAGTCTCATGCCCTCAGTTATCAATATTATAATTGTTTATTTTAATTAATTATTATATTTTTTTAATTTATCAAGATATAAAAAATAAAATTTTTAAAAATATATAATATAAAAATATAATAAATAATTATATTAAAATAATATAATATTAACTATTTAAAATGTACAACTTCATACTTTTTTTTGGGATAAAAGTAACATTGTATGGTTTTCTTGCACTAAGAATTGTACAAGATCCCTGGTCATCTGAAACAATCCAAAGTTTATCAATATTGATGGTGGCCTGGAGGCTGAAAGTGGTTCTCTCCTCCTTTAAAAAAAAAAAAAAAATTATATAAGTAATTTTTTAAATTTTCAAATAATCTGAAGGTGTGTGGTGGAGCCACCATCACATGCTTGTGGCACATTAACATCATGCGAACTTATATTTAAAATTTTTAATTTTTACTTAAATGAAACTACCAATTTACCATTCTTATTTCCATTTGAATGATAATATACTGTTAAAAAACAACTTATAACCGACAGCTAAATTTGTTATTCCATTTACTTATAACCGATAGAAATATTATTGATTAAGTAATCTATTGATTTTATTGATAAGAAGACAACAAAATTGACTAAATTTTATGATCAATAATAATGTTGTTAATTAAGAGTACGTAACTGACAAAATTTTATGTTTTAATTATGCACTATCAGTTATACTCTATTAGTTTAGTAAATATATTATCACTATTTTACTTTTTCTACCAATATGAAGAGAAAGATAAGACTATCCTTGTTCCAAATCCAAGTACATGTACAAAAGAAACTTAAGACTAACGCCACGCCCGACATGGCACGCAACATGGGTCATCGGATCTATAAAAATCCAGATTCCTGCTTTTGCCTTTATAATTTTTTTGTTCATTAATTATTACTGTAAAAATAAGTACTAAAAAAATTGTGCGGTGGGAGATCCTATCAGAGTTCTAAAATTCTTCCGCGTCAAATTTTATTATATTTGGTATCATTATAATTACATTAAATTTTAATTAATTTAAAATTAAGTTATATTAAATTTTATAAAAAAAAAAACTTTCTTAGTATTGATTTTTTTATTTATAAAATTTAAATTCAAGATATTATTTTTAAAAAATATATTTTTAACCCAAACTAATAAATTATTGTTCACTTTTTACTAGTTTGTTGAAGAACAAAATGTCTCATTCTTTGTTGTGTTTTGTGAATTAATTAATATGCACTGTAGCCAGGTTTCAGCATAAAAAAGGCAGACGAAAGTTTTTGTTTTTTT